TAGGATTTGGACAGTAAATTAGCTTTTTTTTCTTGCTTGTCAGATAATTTTGGGAAGTTGCCCCCCCCCCCACACACACACACACACACGCACTTTTGGTCAGTGTAGATTTTTTTTCTTTTTGCTTGACAGATTGTTTTGGAAAGTTGCCACCACCACCCCATTTATAACCGTTGCCACGGGTCTGAAACAAGGATGTTCACCGATTCATTAATTACGCTTCTACACAAGTTTTGTCTTTTCAAAGAACAATACGGTCCTAGAGAGCATTTTAACAATCCTGCCCAATGTCTTATTTATCTTCCTTATGGAAAGGACTTTGCCATTAAGAAATATCAATTCCCTATTCCCTATATACTTAAGAATACATGTCGTTTATGGTAATGTAGGCTAATATTCATCCAGTGGTTCAAAAAAAAAATACTCCTCACTAAAATATTAACAGCAGTGAAGGATAAACTTCAGGTGCACTGTACAACAATATATTCGAGAAGGGTGTAAATCAGAGTAGATCCTTAAAAACTCCATCCAAGGAAGTTTTAGAAAATTTGAAATCACAAAATTTTAACAAAATCAATAACATAAAAAACGAACGACTTTTCAACACTTTATACAACCGTTCCCCATGATAAATTAAAAACCAGGCTTTTTGACATCATGGACAGCTGCTTTTTCAATAAAAATGGAACTCGTATATTTACTTACCTTGTCATTGGTCATTTGCAAAATTATATTGTTAAAAAAACATTCTGATTGTATACACAAGTACTCCGAAGTTATAATGAAAGATGTTTGAGTTTCTGATTGACAATATCTATGTAGTTTTTGGAGACAAAGTTTTCCAACAATCTGTCGGAATACTCATGGGTACTAATTGTGTCCCTTTATTAGCAGACCTACTTTTACATTCAATGAAGCAGAAAATATTCAAAAACTTTTACATGAGGAGAAGAAAATACTTGCTGTGGCCTTCAACTCTTCATTTGGATATATCGACGACGTATTATCAATTGCAATTAAAAATAGTTACTTCCATTCATATGTAGACTCGATATATCCCAGTGAACTTGAAATAAAAGACACCACAGAGTCCACATATGTTTCATATTTGAATATTTTACAAGAAAAAGACGTTAATAGTAACCTTAAAACAAAACCATGGTAAACGTGATGACTTCAACTTTTCTATCAACTTACGTTATTTATGTAGCAATATACCCTTATCATATGGAGTTTATGTCTCCCAGTTGATTCAATGCGCAAAAGCATGCTCTACGTACTAACAACTTTTTCAAAAACTAGGCAAGCTATTGACAAACAAGTTGATGAAACAAGGATATCAACAGTCTCGTTTAAAGTCAGCATTTCGTAAGTTCTATGGTCGATACAATAAGCTTGTCAGAAAATATAATCTATCATTAAGTTGAATGCTGACTGAAGTTTTTCATACTAATTATAAGGTCATTATTTATACACTGAATTGTCTACGGATTTTTCCGTTTGTCCGATCATGGCAAGGAGCACACGGCGGTTGTGACCGGTCGACAGGGGATGCTCACTCACCTGATCCCCACCTCTGATACTTTTAGAGGTCCGTGTTTGTTCTGCTCCCGATTTGAATTGTTTCAATGGACTTTTGAGCTTGATTACTGTTCGTTATCCCCATACTTCATAGAGAATGCTGAAACTTAACAGTCCGACGAATGGCGAACAATGAGAAAATTCACGAGATTTTGACTTAGATAAGATGAAAGTTGTTACTTTTTTTTAGTCTATATATGTTTTAATTGTTTAATTAATTTTATATCTTTACTGTTGTAAGTTTGACTCACGTTTGCATTGCTGTGTTGGAAATCCACTTGTCCATACAGCAGTTCAATGTAACAATCAGTGCTTTGAGAAAATTGCCTTCACATTTCTTTTTTATTTAAGGGTGCTTCTTTGAATTGCACAGATGGCAATTGTATGTAAGGAAAATTAATGCTTTGATAAAACACATTCGGTATCTTAGTGCTATAAACGTTTCTCAAAGACATGTAGATAGTTACTATACTAAAAAATCACATGTAGATAATACTGCCCAACATTCAAATGACCCCTGAACAATTTGTATAAATTTTCCTTTTCAACTTCATTCTGTCCCGTTCGTTTTGTCAGGGTGCTAGAAGCGTTTTTTTTCCCTTCAAGAACCAGGGACAACAAACAAGAGGTCCATGGACCTTTATGATCACCTGAGCTTCACCAGACAAGTTTTTTTTTCTGAGCCACATTACTTGCTCTCCCCTTTTTTATCTACTTCATAATAGAACTTGACAGTCCAGGTCCCAGGATCGTGAAATTGACTAACTTAAAGACTTAAGTCAAATATTCAATCACTTGTCCTAAGATGTTTATCAATTTTCAAATTAATCTCTAACTTTGCAGATAACACCACTCTGGTAATACAATATTGAAATATATACTAGTATTTGTTTGGTCTGTTTGTCTTCTACATGTACAACATTTCAATACAATGTAAAGATTATGACTTAACCTAAGATGTCTCATGATCCCGGGGCCAGGTGTCTCCCAACCTGGTCCACAATAAAATACATTTGACAAATTCAAATTTATACTACCCAATTCAAGGATATTTTCATCTGTGATTTTTTTTATTTTGAATTCATTAATACATGTTATACAGTATGAAGAACTAACCTATACAATACATACCAGGCGCGGATCCAGGTTTTTTTTCCGGAGGTGGGGGGGGGGGGGTCCATCCCAGTCAAAAAAAATTTCCAACCCAAACATTTCTTGACAAGCAAAGAAAAAAAAACTAAAATCCCCTTCCCAAACGTATTAAACGCAGAAAATTTCTTGACAAGCAAGGAAAAAAAAAAAACAACAACAAACAAACAAAAAACAACAAGAACAACAAACAAACAAAAAAAAACAACGTAAAATGCATTTCCCAAACGTGAAAACACCTATTTCGTGGTGGTGGTGGGGGGGGGGTTCCACATTTACTTGTGGGGGGTGTCCAAAGTCATTTTTTTATTTGCTTCAGTATATACTTTTAATAACTCTGCAAATTCCTGGGGGGGGGGGACCCCCCACCCCCACCCCCTTCTACATCCGCGCGTGCATACCTATGCAATACATAATGACAAGAGCATGGTATGAAATTTTTACAACTCGTAGCCCTGTATTTTTAAGATAAAAAAATTTGAAAATACATTTCACAATGTTTTTTAAAGCTTGGCGCTCCGAGACGTTCTATGACGGTGCCTTTCTTGGCTTTGTTTTTTAAGAATTGATCTTCCATTATTAGCGATAAAATAGTCGTAATTCAAATTTTTCGGCAAATGAAGTTTGATTAAATATTATAACGACAGGTGAAATATCGGAAATTTTTATGCGTTAAAACAATGCCATCGATAAATTCACAAAAAAATGTCTGTATAATGAAAACGTGCAGAAAAGTAACATGCTCCATAATGCATTTTTTTCTAGATGGCATAGCTGTCCATTTTTTTATAGATCATCGAAAAACATCAAATCTTACATATTTTTTTAATTTATGTCTTATAATATCGATCTTCTGAGCTGTAATATTAATCAATGCACTAGCTGCATGATCCTGTAATTACTGCATAAATCACTGCAACTTCAAATTTGAATACTGTTTGGTATCATTTTCCATGATAGGGCTCTTTCTTGCGCAGGACAAATAAAGTCCGCAAAAATTGACAAATTAATTACCAAGTTTCCAACTTTAACGGTGTTTTTTTTAAAATGTTAATGGTAAAAAAAATAACTAACCAACTCACATTCATATGTGTAACTTTATTTGTAATAAAGGGAAAAAAAGTATCATTTTTGACGGATTTCAACAAAGAATTGATGGAATACATATACCGATTACGTCCATTTTTTTTCACGCTATAATATTCGGTACATGCTGCTTTTGAGTCTTCATTGAACCTCAAAAATCATGAATGGATTGATGCAGTCTGATAAAATGGAATAATCTAAATAAAGGTTCCCTAACAATTGTGTTTACAGCCAATTTCTTGTTATATCGTGAACTGGTAAAGATTTTGCGAAATATGCAAAAGTTGTGCGTTATAGATGGAGATTTCATTGGAAATTTTCGTATAACTCAAAACCTCTGCTCATCGACACCTTCATTTTCCGTTAAAACAAGAATATGTCGGGGCGTGAATCATTCATGAAGGCAAAAATTATCTACCCCAGTGGCGTCCCGACCAAAAAACTACATAGTGCCCCCCCCCCCCATTCCCTTCTTTCTAATTGTATCAATGTAATTTGTATTTAGTGCACGTTGGAAAAAAAGTATATTCTTAACAATACCCAGGGGTACTCAAAGGAACTTTCTGTATTTGTAACATATAAATTTTGCAAGGTTGTTACAGCATCGCAATTTCGATAATTATGCACAGTATTAAGACATTTCCTCATTTTCTTCAAAGGTAAGGTGAATGACTACCATGTTCAAATGGTGTTACAAATCCCCCCTCCAAAAACACAAAGTTTCCTTGTACACAACATGTACTTCTGTCCAAGGTAGAGTTCATGGGATTAGCACAGGTGAAATAAAGTGACCGCAATTTTTCTGCACTCAAAGAATAAAAACAGAACACGGTTCACATATACTGGGGCACTGAATGTTATCAAGCTCAATCCCCTCCCAGACAATCAAATCATTCATGTTGCCAAGCACAAGGCAAGTCATGTTGACCTGCACGTGACATTACGTCTGGCAAAACACCTTAACTAATAGTGGTAGTCTTAATTTGATTTGACCCTGAGTAAGCTTTGTCCCTTATCAAAATTACAAAACACTCTTATATTCGTTTTCTTCTAGGGAAAGACTTACCTTCACCTTAATCGTGTTATGCATTGATATTTTGGTTATACATGTATAGGATCTGCTGCCTGTGCTGAGACTGCTTGTATGCAATATCCCCCCCCCTCTCCCTATATATTATATTCAATAGAATGCCCTTTTTATTTGCTTAATTTACATGTACATAAAATATTCCATTGCCTTCCTTATCAAAGAAAATGAAAGAAGGCTTTAACAAATATACCAACACTAAGTATATCAGATAAAAGGTCTATTATATAAATGCACGATGTTTAACTACAAGATTTGTTTAAAATACATACATAACTTAAGGCTCCTGCAAATCTAAATTAATTTCTTTTACAGTCATTTCAAAGGTAGCCTTTCCTTGATTGGACTCTAGCACCACACAATTCAAAGGTCCAACATGTCTGCCCAGTACTGAGGAAATATCATAGCCCTGATAAAAAAAAATAGAGAAAACATAACATTGACATTTAATTTCATTTTTTCCTTCAATAATTCAAACATTTTCATTAAACAGTCATTCATGACTCCAGTATTTTGATACACTCTGACAGAGAATGTAATAATGTGGGAAAGGAGGTGTGTGTGTGTGTGTGTGAGGGTGTGTGTTACATGTATGTGTGTGTGTAAGGTATGTTGCCTTCCATTTATCACAATAAATTTACTTTTACTTCATATGACCACTACCTTATGTAATACTTGTAACAGTTTCAAACTATAACTTGAAAGAGCAATACATCACATTACTTGATGGCTATCATTTTTATGCCCCCATAATCAAAGATTCAGGAGTATATAGTTTTTGTCCTGTCCGTCCATCTGTCTGTCTGTTTGTCCGCAAAAACTTTAACCTTGCCCATAACTTTTGATTGGTTTGAGCTATGGCTTTCATATTTCACATGTGTATTCCTTGTGACAAGATCTTCCTTTGGGTACCAACATGTTTGATACCTTGACCTTGGAGTTTGACCCACTTTTGCAAAAATTTACCAAACTTTAACCTTGGCCATAACTTTTGAACAGTTGGTGCTAGGGATTTCATATTTCACATGTGTACTCATCTTGACAAGACTTTTCCATAGGTGTAGATATTTTTGACCTTGACCTTAGAGTTTGACCCACTTTTAAAAAACTTTAACCTTGGCCATAAGTTTTGAACAGTTAGAACTAGGGCTTTCAAATTTCACAGGTATATTCTTTGTGACAAGACCTTCCTTTAGATACCAACAATTTTGATCTTTTGACGTTGACATCTGACCTACTTTAAAAAAACTATAACCTTTGCCATAACTTTTGAACCGTTGGTGCTAGGGCTTTTATATTTTGCATGTGTATTTCTTATGACAAGGTCTTTCCCTGCATACCATTAATTTTGACCCTTTGACATTGACCTTGGAGTTTGACCTACTTTAAAAAAAAATTAACCTTGACCATAACTTTTATATGGTTGGTGCTTGGGCTTTAATATTTACCAGGTATATCCACTGACACAAAACCTTTCTTTGGGTAACAACATTTTTGATCTCTTAACCTTGGAGTTTGACTTGAAATTGAGAAACTTTAACCTTCACCATAAGCTGCCATACGAGGGCATCAGTGTTTCACAAACACGTCTTGTTTTTCTTATATTTTCATTATGAAAATCACCAACAAGAAAATTACTATAAAGCACTGATTGATACTTTTGAACATTTCATGATGTAATATTTACATTTTCAAATGTCTTTTTTTTTTTGAGATAAAACTTCAAATAAAGGAAAAGCTTTATATCTTTATAAAGTCATTTGCTAATGTGAAGGAACTGCCTTCTTGCTGTGCATGCCTAAGCAATACACTGGGTAGGATTTGCAGACTTAAATTTCAAATTATGGAAAAAAAGAATAACTGAAATATTTCATTTTTTTCAAATAAAACCAAGGATCAATCAAATACGTAAATATAAGGAATAACAGTCTGGTTTTATGATGATGATCAAACCGTTTGCTCTCATGATCTCTTCATGCATAAATGCCTTCAGCATTTATGCAAATTATCATGAAAGCAAACTGATTGATTACATCATAAAACAAAAAATAGACAGTTATTCCTTAAATAAATTATACTTTTATTCCTTTACACTCAATATTTTAAATGTTTTCTATTCTATGAAATAACTAATTATTATGCCATCACATTGTCATTCTGATTTACCAGTTGAAAGTAAAACAACTGTGGAATCTATTACTTAATAAAACCATGTTAAATTCTAACAAGAGGCCCAGGGGCGACATCGCTCACCTGAGCACTATGGCTAGGAAAAAGCAGAAATCAGTTCAGTCTTGAAAGGTTGAAAAGTTTAAATTTAAAAGTGGCTCGGGGGGGGGGGGGGGGGGGGGGGGGACATCATGAATTGAACAAATTTGAATCTACATTATCTGAGGATGCTTCCATTTAAATATGACCAATCATGGCTTTGCTGTTCTTGAGTAGAAGATTTTTAAGGATTTACCCTATGTATTCCTATGTAAAACTTTGATCACCCATTGTGGCCCCACCCCACCCCCAGGGGTCATGTTTGAACAAACTTGAATGTACACTATCTAAGAATGCTTCCATATAAATATGACCAATCATGGCTTTGCTGTTCTTAAGAAATAGTTTTTTTTTAAAGTTTTTTACTATGTGTTCCTACGTAAAACTTTGATCGCCCATTGTGGTCCCATCCGACCCCCGGTGGTCATGAGTTGAACAAATCTGAATGTACACTATCTGAGGATGCTTCCATAAAAATATGATCAATCATGGCTTTGCTGTTCTTCAGAAGAAGATTTTTAAAGATTTTTCCTATATATTCCTATGTAAAACTTTGATCGCCCATTGTGGTCCAACCCCACCCCGGGGGTCATGATTTGAACAAACTTGAATCTACACTACCTGAGGATGCTTCCATGTAAATATGACCAATCATGGCTTTGCTGTTCTTGAGAAGAAGATTTTTAAAGATTTTTCCTATATATTCCTATGTAAAACTTTGATCGCCCATTGTGGCCCCACCCCACCCCCGGGGGTCTTGATTTGAACAAACTTGAATGTACATTGTCTGAGGATGCTTCCATGTAAATATGACCAATCATGGCTTTGCTGTTCTTGAGAAGAAGATTTTTAAAGATTTTTCCTATATATTCCTATGTAAAACTTTGATCGCCCATTGTGGCCCCACCCCACCCCCGGGGGTCTTCATTTGAACAAACTTGAATGTACATTGTCTGAGGATGCTTCCATGTAAATATGACCAATCATGGCTTTGCTGTTCTTGAGAAGAAGATTTTTAAAGATTTTTCCTATATATTCCTATGTAAAACTTTGATCGCCCATTGTGGCCCCACCCCACCCCCAGGGGTCATGTTTGAACAAACTTGAATGTACACTATCTAAGAATGCTTCCATATAAATATGACCAATCATGGCTTTGCTGTTCTTAAGAAATAGTTTTTTTTTAAAGTTTTTTACTATGTGTTCCTACGTAAAACTTTGATCGCCCATTGTGGTCCCATCCGACCCCCGGTGGTCATGAGTTGAACAAATCTGAATGTACACTATCTGAGGATGCTTCCATAAAAATATGATCAATCATGGCTTTGCTGTTCTTCAGAAGAAGATTTTTAAAGATTTTTCCTATATATTCCTATGTAAAACTTTGATCGCCCATTGTGGTCCAACCCCACCCCGGGGGTCATGATTTGAACAAACTTGAATCTACACTACCTGAGGATGCTTCCATGTAAATATGACCAATCATGGCTTTGCTGTTCTTGAGAAGAAGATTTTTAAAGATTTTTCCTATATATTCCTATGTAAAACTTTGATCGCCCATTGTGGCCCCACCCCACCCCCGGGGGTCTTGATTTGAACAAACTTGAATGTACATTGTCTGAGGATGCTTCCATGTAAATATGACCAATCATGGCTTTGCTGTTCTTGAGAAGAAGATTTTTAAAGATTTTTCCTATATATTCCTATGTAAAACTTTGATCGCCCATTGTGGCCCCACCCGACCCCCGGGGATCATGATTTGAACAAACTTGAATCTACACTATCTGAGGATGCTACCATATAAATATGACCAATCATGGCTTTGCTGTTCTTGAGAAGAAGATTTTAAAAGATTATTCCTATATATTCCTATGTAAAACTTTGATCGCCCATTGTGGCCCCACCCGACCCCCAGGGATCATGATTTGAACAAACTTGAATCTACACTACCTGAGGATGCTTCCACGTAAGTTTCATATTTTCAAGCACAGTGGTTCTTGAGAAGAAGATTTTTTAATGATGCCATTAATTTTTCACGAATTCTTAATTATCTCCCCTTGGAAGAGGGCGTGGCCCTTCATTTGAACAAACTTGAATCCCCTTTACCCAAGGATACTTTGTGGCAAGTTTGGTTGAAATTGGCCCAGTGGTTCTGGAGAAGAAGTCGAAAATGTGAAAAGTTTACAGACGGACAGACAGGCGGACAGATGGACTACAGACAAAATGTGATCAGAAAAGCTCACTTGAGCCTTCGGCTCAGGTGAGCTAATAAACAGGAGCAGGACAAATACAAACACAAAGTCTTACATACCTCATCTGCCTCGTCAGAGTCAGGTAGAATTTTCTCTATACTAGACTGATGCAACTGTAACAGATTAGCAGCGAGTAACTGATTTTACTGAACATTCAAAATACAGTGATTTTTCACTTCAATGTAGTTACAATTCTTCCTACTACTTCTCTCTGTATACAATTAATTATTAAGATAATTTCGTCATTTAGCTTGTATTTTGTATACCTCTACAGACACCTTCATTTCTGGATAATCTGATGACATCATATTGTGGGATGATGTCACAGATAGATAAACTTTCAGTTTCATTCTTGTTAATGGCTCCTTCACGGCCCTCTGACAGGTTAGACACACAAGTTGTCTGAAAAACAAAGTGGAGCTTTTGACTGAATCTACCAGGTACACATCCATTACATTGTACTATCAATCAACAGCTGTTTTACAGTCAACTTTATAAATTGAGGAAAGACAAATTAATTTTCTAACTGATTATGTATTACATGAATTCTGATTCTATTGTGAGTTCAGACTTTTACCTGCTGTTGGAGATTGTGTGTTGTATGAATTCTATTGTGAGTTCAGACTTTTACCTGCTACTGGAATCCTGTGCCAAGTTTTCTTGCTGGCATTTGTCACACACATCCCAGGTATAGGCTGAGTTCTCATCTACATCACAGACACTTCCTGTGATCAACATCAACATACAAAACATCACGTATAAATTAAAATTGAGAACTTAATTAATTGTTAATGTCTTATGAGTTTATATAAGTTCAGATAATGTCAAAATATTGATACAATATTTACCAATTGTAACCAATTTTGAATTTTATGATGTTCAAATTTTTGGAGGACCTTTTAATCTTCTAAAAAGGCATGATAGCACTAGTGCTTTGATATTTTGGTAACCTTACCAGACACAGTACAGAGATCAAATGTGGTTAACCCTGGATGAATGGGTTTGAGGTCAAGGTCACATGAACTCTCCAAGGGTTCCTGGGTCTGTGTAATGATACAACTGTACAAATCGCAGGTCAGTTTGCCTGGAAAGAGAGAGAAAAAAATTTCAAGTATTAAAGTAGTTTGCACTAATCTTAGAAAACATTCATTTAAATCTGTCCATCATCACCATACCATATGTACTTTTCCGTAGATTCTACTTTTCAACTTTGAATTCAAAATATTTGTCTCATTATGATTAAATTCCATTTATACTTAACTTATAAACCTCCAAAGGAATATTGCTAGTCAAAAAATTATTTCATTCAAACCTGACTGACATGCAACATCCCTAAACTTCCAGGTTCTGTTTTTCAAATGGGTCAACAAAGGCAATGAACACTCTGCAGTGGTTGTCATGGTGATATATCTGTGATTGGTCAGACTCTGATCTCTAACATAAAGGATAGAATTGTGGGATCTTCTACTGTCTGATAAAGGCACGCTATCCTTAACATCTCCCTGTGTGAAACATCACTCAGGTTTATCAATATGTAAGTTTCAGAGTTCTTATAATACTGCACACTCTTTTCTTTTAGTGGTTATCTTATTTTAGCATTTGATGCAAGCCTTATTTTAATGATTCATGTACACAGGTAAACTATCAAAATATTAAAGGGCATATATGTACATGTACAGCATGAACAAAATTTGTAAATTTTGTCATAGTGATGGAAAAAGTGTAAAATGCAGATCCACCAATATACAGGTAATTACACTGGTATACATTCTAACATGTCCAAGGTGTATTCTATGTTTGGTGTTAACTCTTACCATTTCTATCTGGAAAAGTACTTGACAGCAAAACGACACTCTTCTTATTTCTTCTACCTAGGAATGTAAATTAATTTTTTACAATCATCAACTTTTTATACATATAACCAGTGTCACTAATCCGGAAAGATTTGTCTGGTAAAAGTGGACATTTTTTTTTCAATTTCTATCACAAAAGTTCCCACTTTGTACAAATGATACATCTGAAGATATACAACAATCAAAAAGTCCTAAATAACTAAGTTTATTTTAAGTACATTGTTTACATTATTCCAAATAAAAATACATGATTTTCCTGATTGTTTTGCATAAGTTTTATCAATCTGATAAAAAAACAAGAGGCCCATGGGCCACAACGCTCACCTGAGTCAATATGGCCCTGCTGTTCTTTGTCAGCAGATTTCTTCTTCTATATATTCATACGTAAAGCTTTGATCAACTGTTCTAGGCATAACCTATCCCCATTTGCCATGTTTTGAATGAAATTAAATCTAAACTTTCTGAGGATGCTTCTATATTCATATAACTAATCATGGTTTTGCTGTTCTTGAAACGGAATTTTAAAGATGTCTGCCATCCTACCCTCGGGGGAAGGAAGGGAGGGGGGGTTCAAGATTTGAACAAACTTGAATATACACTACCTAAGGATGCTTCCATATCAATATGACTAATTATGGCTTTGTTGTTCTTGAGAAGAAGATTTTTTAAGATATTTCTTATATATATTCTTTTGTTAAACTTTGATCCCCGATTATGGCCCCACCCTACTACTGGAGGATGCCTTGAACAAACTTGAATCTACAATACTTGGGGATGCTTCAATATCAAAATGACTAATCACGGCTTTCCTGTTCTTGAAAAGATTTTAAAAGATTTTTCCTATTTATTCCTATGTAAAACTTTGATCCCCTATTGTGGACCCACCCTACCCCCGGGGGTCTTGATTTCGACAAATTTGAATCTACACTACCTAAGGATGATTCCATATCAATATGACTAATTGTGGCTTTGTTGTTCTTGAGAAGAAAATTTTTAAAGAATTTTCCTATATATTCCTATGTAAAACTTTGATCCCCTATTGTGGCCCCACCCTACCCCCGGGGGTCATGATTTGAACAAACTTGAATCTACATTACCTGAGGATGATTTCATATCAAAATGACTAATTGTGGCTTTGTTGTTCTTGAGAAAAAGATTTTTAAAGAATTTTCCTATATATTCCTATGTAAAACTTTGATCCCCTATTGTGGCCCCACCCTACCCCCGGGGGTCATGATTTGAACAAACTTGAATCTACATTACCTGAGGATGATTTCATATCAATATGACTAATTGTGGCTTTGTTGTTCTTGAGAAAAAGATTTTTAAAGAATTTTCCTATATATTCCTATGTAAAACTTTGATCCCCTATTGTGGCCCCACCCTACCCCCGGGGGTCATGATTTGAACAAACTAAAATCTACACTACCTGAGGATGATTTCATATCAATATGACTAATTGTGGCTTTGTTGTTCTTGAGAAGAAGATTTTTAAAGAATTTTTCTATGTATTCCTTTGTAAAACTTTGATCCCCCATTGTGGCCCCACCCTACCCCCGGGGGTCATGATTTGAACAAATTTGAATCTACATTACCTGAGGATGATTTCATATCAATATGACTAATTGTGGCTTTGTTGTTCTTGAGAAGAAGATTTTTAAAGAATTTTCCTATGTATTCCTATGTAAAACTTTGATCCCCCATTGTGGCCCCACCCTACCCTCGGGGGTCATGATTTAAACAAACTTAAATCTACACTACCTGAGGATGATTTCATATCAATATGACAAATCATGGCTTTGCTGTTCTTGAGAAGAAGATTTTTAAAGAATTTTCCTATGTATTCCTATGTAAAACTTTGATCCCCTATTGTGGCCCCACCCTACCCCCGGGGGTCATGATTTGAACAAACTTAAATCTACACTACCTGAGGATGATTTCATATCAATATGACAAATCATGGCTTTGCTGTTCTTGAGAAGAAGATTTTTAAAGAATTTTCCTATGTATTCCTATGTAAAACTTTGATCCCCCATTGTGGCCCCACCCTACCCCCGGGGGTCATGATTTGAACAAACTTGAATCTACATTACCTGAGGATGATTTCATATCAATATGACTAATTGTGGCTTTGTTGTTCTTGAGAAGAAGATTTTTAAAGAATTTTCCTATATATTCCTATGTAAAACTTTGATCCCCTATTGTGGCCCCACCCTACCCCCGGGGGTCATGATTTGAACAAATTTAAATCTACACTACCTGAAGATGATTTCATATCAATATGACTAATTGTGGCTTTGTTGTTCTTGAGAAGAAGATTTTTAAAGAATTTTCCTGTATATTCCTATGTAAAACTTTGATCCCCCATTGTGGCCCCACCCTACCCCCGGGGGTCATGATTTGAACAAACTTGAATCTACACTATGTAATGAAGGTTTCCCATAAGTTTCAACTTCTCTGGCCCAATGGTTCTTGAGAAGAAGATTTTTAAAAAAAGACACCAAATTTTCACTTATTCTTAATTATCTCCCCTTGGAAGAGGGCATGGCCCTTCATTTGAACAAACTTGAACCCCCTTCTTCCAAGGATGCTTTGTGGCAAGTTTGGTTGAAAATGGCCCAGTGGTTCTGGAGAAGAAGTCGAAAATGTGAAAAGTTTACAGACGGACGGACGGACGGACGGACGGACAGACGGACTACGGACAAAATGTGATCAGAAAAGCTCACTTGAGCTTTCAGCTCAGGTGAGCTAAAAAGTCAGTAACTCTCCCACTCTCAGGGGACCAGACCCTGGCACCAAGAAGTCATTTGACAGCTTTGACAACTCACTAATTATTACTTATTAGCTAAATGTATGAATAAAAAACAAGGTGTTAACATTGGAAATAAATGTCATCTTGGTGAAAAGGTGCATTTCAAGAAGAAAACTCAGTACTTGATCAAGATCTGCCAGCCTAATTGTCTTTTCTTTTGAGATTGGGTTGTCAACTCCATTTGCTTCAATGTTTATTCCCTCGCCATTCTCTGCTTCTTTCATGAAATAACAGAACCCCGGGGCTGAAGTTCTGAAGAGCTGTGAAAAAGAGATAAAAATAGCATACATTATAAATCCTGTAACAAATGTACACCTGATTCTTTTTCTTATATATCAATTACTGATTCATATATAAAAAAAATTCTGCATTATATACATGTACAATATATCCTATTTTAAAATAACTCCCTAAATCATTCTATTCAGTTAATACATTTTTTTAACATCTGGGTTAACAAAATGTGATTTTTTTGTTTGTTTGTTTGTTTGTTTGTTTTGTTTTTTTTTTTGTTTTTCCTTTTTGTTTTTGTTATCCTATCACACAGCCAATTTTTAAATCCCCGACCTGTGTAGCACTACTTGCCTCCTCAGAATCAGCAATACTTTCGTCAGTGTTCAGGGGTTCAAAATTCCTCAAGCCCGACGTCCCGGACTAACAAATTCCGGATCCGGACTCGGCATTTAGAATCGCCAAAAGTCCTGGGACTTGGCAATGTTTCTTGTTTATCTTTTATTTAAGTTAAGAAAAAAGTTCGTAAAACTAAAAATAAAGCAAATTCTCAAATGTATTCAATAAAAATGTGGATTTTTTGGCGTTAATATACCCACAAAACATTACGAACGTCTCAAAAATACAATCCGTCTTTTTATGTTCCGTTGCGGTTAGACACCTGCTTTTACGCAATTTCTCATGTTTCCTCCCATATGACATGAGTTTGTTAAATTTTGGTTTTACCAGTAAAGGAACGAGAAATAAAAGACCCCGTGAGGAACATGAAGCTGGGGATCAAAATAACAATTCCAAAGACGGAACCTATGACAAGAAGAGAGTTCGCAAATTCCAAAGCCACTGGCGTGATGATAGGCCGTGGCTTGATTACAATGACGATACGAAAACGATGTTTTGTTCATTTTGTCAAAGTTTTCATGTATGACTATGTAACAGTGACTGTAATGCTGTATGGAGGAAAAATAAAACATATATTCATACATATAGTCTTTATTCATTCAATGCAACAAATGAAAATAAATTATAACATAAATTTAATGATGGTTTAAGTAAATATGATTTTATCTATCATGAAAATATGGACTCAGAAATTTCTTCCTCGGACTTGCCTAAAATTTACTCTTTAAGTCCTGGACTTGACCATGATAAAAAAAATTTTGAACCCCTGGTGTTCTGACTGCCTGCACGTTTGGACATAAATCCACCACTCCATACACTGTCAATCATAGAAAACAACCCAGGCTCCCTAAAGAAAAACATTCCTTATGCTCAAAATTTCTTGACTGAATAATGAATGAATAAAAGAAGCAAGTCTTTTTAATTTATTTTTTAGTTCTTGCTTCCAAGATTAATCTCCTTTTTAAAATAACAAAAATTGCCCCAAAATTTTAACTCTGTCAATTGACCCTACAGTAAGTCCGCAAAACCACTGAGGCAAACTGTACAATTAAGTACCTGGTACCTGTCTTTGCCTGTCTCTCATGGCTTTACAATTAGACACTGAATCCATTAACACATGAAACAGCCCTTCACCTCTAGGTATACATACATGTACAGTATATACACAAGTTTATCGTCTCTTTTAGCTCTACACTGACAAGAAGTCCTCCAAACACATGAAGAAGCCCTTCTCCTCTGAAAGCATGAATTTACCTGTCTCTTTTAGCCCTACACTGGAGTATGCCAGCACATACCACTCTCTGTATATATACTATACCTGTCTCTTTTAGCCCTACATTAGAAATGCCAGCAGGCCTACCACTCTCTGTATATATATTATACCTGTCTCTTGTGGCCCTATATTGGACAGTGAGTCCACCAAACACATGAAGTTGCCCTTCTCCACTTTTCAATACGGATGGGAAGTGTACCTCAAAATTCTCTGGACAAAATACTTGACACATAGTACCATGGCTATCTTCTATCAACAGTGAGTATCTAGAGAAATACACCAAAGATTTCTCTGATCAGTAGGTGGTTAGGTTTATATCAAGTAATAAGCATATCATAAGAGTAGGCTGTAGAATTCAAAACCATTACATTTTTTTTGGTTTCTGACAGACCTCAAGATTCAACAAAATATTGTGTTCTTATATACAAGTACACGGATCATATTCATTTGTTCTAATAAATAACATTACAAATGTACATGTATATTAGTTGCTCAAAAGCCTATACACATGCAGTAATCACTGGCTTACCTTTTCTCATTGGATGGAACTCTTCTATTGAAACAAAACACTCTGAGGATTCTTCCAGAGAATCTAGCACTAGGGTCATGACAATCCACCCACTCTAGAATGGAGGACTTGGTCAGTCTGTCCTTACGGGAGGGACCCTGTGTGGCTTGGATTGTGTCAAGGGCAGATAACTGCTCATCATTTTCCAGTTCAGATTCCTTGTCTAACTGTAAGAGTATTAATCTATATGAAAATGTTAAGAGCAAAACAAAATTTCAAGAGTTGAATGTGATTTTTTTTTCAATGCATTTGTGTGCAAAAAAAAATCCCATTTTCATTTCTTGGTAAATTAAAGATGGGGTAACAAGGTGATAAAATTTTAATAAGATTTTAAGAGGAGTTGTCAAGTTTAATGACAGGACCAACAAGAAATTAAACATTCCATTCTCAGACTGTATTTATTACTTGAAATTTTACCTTGTTTACCTTGTTAACATACAAGCCTGGAATTCCCGGACTCAGGTGAGCTGGACAGGCAAAGGAACTTTTCACAAGACCTATATTGTTGCAGCAGTTACAATAACCATCATGGGCATTTATGTATATTTAAAGAAACTTTTACAAATATCTGTAATATAGACAACATATTCATGTATGTAGTATCAATATTAGAAGTATAAAAATGAAAATTGTACCTAGGACACAAGGGCACTTCCAAACAGCCGATACCTCTGTGAGGTTATGGTTGGACTTCTTGTCTCGAGGTCTGTCTGTGTTACCTGTCTCTGACATTAGTGTATTAACTGGCCCCTCATCTGACATGATACAGTAATTAGAGCACAGAAGAACATGTTGAGAAGATTGTTTTAATCTTATCTGTTGCCTGTAAGTAAGAAAAAAGTTACAAAGAAACAGGCTCAAAGAAGAAATTGCATTAACATATAATCATACAAAAGCAATCAGTACACAGATTACACTTACCATGGAGCAAACACACGAACCACATTTCCTTCCTGTAACGATTGATCTTGTAGAAACAGGGCTGTTTGTTCCTTGCCAACCATGACTCCAGACTCCTGCTGGACACAGTGAGCCAGCCTTACAGAAAACAAGGATTCCAGGCGTGTAATCCTCAGGGTCAGGGACTTAACTGGTGTGTCCTCTAAATGTCAAAACCACTAATGTGACAATTATAGAACCACAGAGACTTAACCAGTGTGTCCTCTAAATATCAAAACAACTAATGTGACAATTACAGAACCACAGGGACTTAACCAGTGTGTCCCCTAAATATCAAAACCACTAACTTTACAGATAAAATCATTCTTACAAAGCTTATCAATGAATTGATTTACTGCTAATGTACATGTTACCTGCAATTCAAACTACTGTGAAATCACTAATTTTATGGGGGGTTAATTTTCGTAGTTTTCTTGGCATAAAGGGACCCATGGATTCATGTTCCTCCATGAAATGCAAAAATTCTATATAACATACAGTATCATGTTTTTTCTTCAACCACGAAATTATATATCCCTTTGAACCAATATTTTTTCCTCAAACCACGAAAAATTTGACCCCTCAAAAATAAATGATTTACCAGTAACACATTGACAATATTTAGATTTACAACTTCAATCATTACCATTTTTTTTCTACTAAAATACCTGACTGTAATTTGGGTGATACTGTTGTAGACTTTTGATGTTTGAACATGCTGATCATTGATCTTTCTCTTCCTTTAAGATTAAACAACTGGTCAGCTAAACTTCCTCTACAATCAAGGTACAATTAAGTTCTTATTACAAGTGGCAAGTCAGTTCTTCAGAACAAAAGTCATACAAATACTAAGTTGAAATATTTGTTCATCACCACGGTATAATTTGAAAAAAATATATACTTTTGGTATTTCTTCCTCTTCTTTGCAGAGTCCTCTAACTCAGTGAAGGGAGCATCTTGAGAGTTCTTTGTAGGCGTCTTTAAATCCAGCATCTTAATCCACTGACTAGCTTTGACCTTTGAATTTTTATCAGGACTCTGTGATTGACTCGTTGATGGAGAAATACTTGTCAGTTCACTAATACATGGAGAGTAGCAAATAACCTATAGAAAAAGATAAAAACATGAATCAAAAGACCTAGTTTACTTTCATTGATTTCCAGTAAGAAAGGGCATTCAGAAAACAAGGGGGAGACTGGCAGGCCTATAAGAAAATTGGGTTATTTTCCTGTTTGTAATTCACTACTTTAACCTTTTGACTTTTATTTATTCCTGTGAGACCAAAAAAAAAAAAATCGGCATAAATTTTTATAATGCTCCAACATAAATTGTTCAATTTGTATGCCTCAATCACCTGGAATGTGATTTATAGTGTCATAAAGGTAATGTAAAAAATCTATCACTTAGTGCTTAAGTGAATTTGTATTTTGTCATGAATGGTTGGACTGAAAACAATGCCAGAAGTGCTAAAATAAGTACATCAACATTATTGGAGAATATTTTCAGACTGAATATAATAGGATGGGTGCTTATTGGGGATATATAAATAGGATAATAACTGATATATAATAATATTTGATGCTTCTAGGCATCCATGGGCAAAAAGATGGAAATATAGGTACTTAGATCAAATGTCCTTTTTTACCTTTGTTTCATTCTTTGACTGAGATAAATTTTGGGATTTCTCATTGGTGGGAATAGAGGACCTTGAATCTTCAGATTCTATGTCAAGCTCAATACCTTCAGATGTCTAAAAGCAGAACAAAATTCCATTTGTAATTATCATGTACATGCAGATCAAAGTACTGCATAAACAGCTGGAAAAAATTGACTTAACTTGAACGTACATTCTTCATGAAATCCTCCATGTTGGAGTTAGAATCTGACTCACTGATGACACTGACATCTTCTAGGTAATGAGCAGGCTGTCCTCTCTGTCTCTGAGTAGCCGCCTTCTGACCTTTGACGGTTTTAGCTACCTTTCTATGTCTGTTTTTAACTGTTGACATCTGTATATCCTCAGTCTCTTCCTCGCTGGATGTCCAGGTTATGCTATCTTCAACTAAAGATACACAGTATTTGTTTTAAGAAATAAATAACAAGTTTAAAAACTTTACTTGGAAATGAAGTGGGTTGGTCACATGATCAAATCTTGTGAAGACTGAAAAGATTTGATGCCCCAGGATCGCCGTGTGGACACATCCCTGGTGTGACAGGGGTTTAAGCAATTATATATGTAAGAACTTTCTAACAACAATATTTATTGAATATTTTCAGAGAAAAAGGTTAAAAACTTTGTTTAAAGATATACACGCTATATAAACACGATTTTTATGTGAAAAAAAATTATTAAATGATTTGAGAAACAGGATGTGTAATAAAAATTAATTACTTTCCACAAAGTTTTACTAAATAAGTTGTTGTAATTACAAAAAAATTAAGCAAGATCTGCAATATTACGAATTCAGCCTTTTCATGAATATTGATGAAGGAAGTGCGTAAACAGTATATAGACATGCATGTCCGCAGGAAATCATAGAAGACGAGGTACATTGCATTTTGACAACGATTTTGAATAAAAGTTAATATCTGTCATTACAGAGTAGATGGTTAATACTGGTTGTTTTCAAAGATAAGTATCTTTAAGCATAAAACGTGTGCCATCCATGTCAAAAGTTATTTTGTATACCAAACGGCCTACCTCGTTTTCTTGATGCCAATTTGTTTATCAATCTAAAAGTAGTGACAGTGTCACATGATGCATGAATTTAAATAGAGGCATTACTTTCCTAGTAGGAAAATAAATAATTATAATTTGAGATCTTTATAATGCGTTCATTTTCAATTGTGTAATTTACAGCATATTTGTAACTTTATTTGGTAAACAAAATAAATAAATTTCCAACTTTATTTTAAACTGACGCAAGTTATAGCGTGGAAATTTTTATAAATGAAGTTTTTAAACTAACTTTTTATCGTATATTTCAATTTTGGGGTCAAAAAGCCCCAAAACCTCATTTTAAAATTTTTTAAGATTGCTCATGCATTCTAATATATATATATATTGGAGTCACCTAAGGCGACACTTTATTTTAGCAATTTTTTCTTGCAACCAGTAAAGAACATCATCAGGGTGCAGAAATAAGCATTATGAAGACGAAGTAAAAGCGACTTAAGATTGACACTGACTTTGATCTTCCTCCTCAGAAAGCACCTGTTGCAGGTCATCCTTATATAATCTATGGCTTCCAGATCTCTCTTTTGCACGCTTTACCCTTCTTTCTTCCACATCAAGCCCCTCAAATCCCTCAGCACACCTCTCCCAGTCTCGGGGTCATTTTCTCAATGACATCTCGTAAATCAACTGCACTTATGATGAAAATTACAGGCACTGGAAGTTAATGTAAAAATTGAGTCTGTGTATGTGTAAATATTAGGAAGGTCCTTTTCTCAATGACATCTTGTAAGATCAACAGCACTTATGATGAAAATTACCGGCACTGGAAGTTAATGTAAATATTGAGTATGTGTATGTATAAATATTAGGAAGGTCCTGTTTTTTACATGCACACACTCAATATTTACATTAACTTCCAGTGCCCGTGATAAAAATAATTAGGCCTATATTTCTCAAAATTTTAATCAACATTTCGAAAAGACACCAACAAAAGAGCCCGTCCTGAAATAAACACAGCTTTAAACTTGTCATTTTCTGATCTGCAAAAATCTTACCTAGTCAACTGTAAAGACAAGATGAAGTGTCTGCAGCTTTCACTTCCATGTAAAGCGCTCGAAATCTGAATCTCTTTAGTGTTTAGTTCTTTGCCCGTTAAAAATTGGCAAAAAATCCTAAAAACTCTATAGAGTTTAAAAAACTTGACATTAATATATTCTATATTTCATATGATTCAAAGTTTATATTTTTCAAAATATATTATATTTTATTAAAAATAAACCAGGTGTATGCAATCTGGGATAAATATTTGTCCGTTTATATCCGAAAGCTATTCTTTCTATATAGGTGGACAAGCTTATAATTAACGTTGATGAACGCCGCAAAAATATTGTCAATAATTTTGCACAAAGAAGGAATTTCGAAGATAGTAAATTAGAATGGGCTTCAAGAAAAAGCACAAGAAGCACAAATCTGAAAAACGTTCGTATGATGGTAATACATATTTATTTAATCCTTTTAAACCTAAAGTTTCCCAGAATCTGAACAACAACAAAGCAGTGCATAGCTTAGGGAACGCTTTATACACCAATTACCTTATAAAAGTATTCTGTGCATAATGCAGATTCATAGTTTGTTCATAGCGTAGCTCCGGGGGTAGGGTTAGTTATATATATAGGAAATGGTCTGTTAAAATCTTCAAAATTTTTTTTAAATATTCTCAAGAACATGTCGATTTTCAGGTAATTTTTATCACAACTTATTTCTCGTATATTACTTAAATCAAATTTTGATGGAATAATTCACTAATGATGATTTATTAAATAATTGCTATTTGTCAGTTTCATTAAAAATTGCAAGTAACTTGCAAGATTGTCCCTAAGAATTGAAATAGCAGGGGACACTAAAAAAGTAGAAGGAGAGTTGGAGTTCATCCCTCATAGGGAGTCAAGGGGGAATACCAAGATAACCAGGGGATTATGACATAATAGGTGGGGAAATTCCCAGGGTCTTAGGGACAACCCTCAGGGTTCTCCACAAGGGGTTTTACCATGGCGGCCCTCCATGGTTAAATTTATGTGCGCCATGGTTAAACTAGCTGCGTCATGGTCAAAATCAGCGGTCGCCATGATTAAATTTTTATTGCATTTCAGTATTGACACCTACTTTTTAATGACTTGAGTAGTTAATTGTGTTTATTATACCTCTATTAAGAATACTTAAATTTGATTGGTTTGTTAGAATGCTTTTAAACTCAATAATGACTCCAAAAAGTTCCATTTACAGCAATAATGACCTAAGAATCATTGCACGTGGGGTATAATGACCGGTCAATAAAAATAATGACCGCTAAAAATGACCTGTTAATCCAAATTCCATTCAAATAAAAAAATATATGATTGTACATTACAAAAAATAACGTTATAAAAATATGTAGAGTATATTTAGGATACGGAACACGATTGGCCTTTAGATGCATCACAACATTTATCGTTTTCATTGAAACAAATTTTCGTTACAATGTCAAATTCAACGAATGCAGATCGACTCGGCTCTCTTGTACAGTAAAAGTCTGCACCAGATTGTCATTGTACTCGGGAATGGTATTTCTGAATTTATAAAAATGCATGCTACTGACAATCAATTCAGAGTGTTTTAATAAATCAGCGGTGCAAAAACTTACAAGACTTGCAGGCGAAAAGTAAACAACTTCACTAGCGAATCCCAATCCCCATGGAACACTGATAATAACAGTTCGTAGGTCTAATACACATTTGATTATTTTAGTAATTTAGCCTACAAAAATTGCCTCAACTTATATCGGTTGGCTCAACTTATATCGGTTGGCCCACTCGCTGACCTGACCAGACCTCGGCCGCTACGCGGCCTTGGTCAGGTCAGGTCACCTCATGGGCCAGATCTCGGGTCCTTATTTCACCATGTTGACCTCATAAGGGGTAATTAATTGTATATTATACTACGACAGCCTTGCAACTCGCATGCCTCGATAGAAAGCGGACTGTGCTAAACAAACACGGTCGTTGATCAGCGACAATGCTGTGAAGTGTGACAATGCAGAGTCAATCAGCTGATGATCAATCTCTTGAGATTTAATTATCCTGTACACATGTAATTTCGGGGAATTCCAACGTGTTAATCATAAGATAACAGATTTACAAAAGGTGACAAAACGAGCAAAAACAACATGATAATTGACAATCATCCGATTCAAGTTTCTGTGCCCAGAAAAAGTTAAACCTTTCAAAATTTCCTGTTCTTTGTATTTAGTCAATCCCTCATGCCTTGCTTTTAAGTATTAACTTTTCTTTTTTATCTTTTTGATAAAATGTGCGCAAGTGCAAATCGCCGTCTTAGTTTTAGAGTGACCTCCTGTGTTTATGAAACGTCGCGTGGCGCTATTTTTAGCCCTGGGGCACGTGGAGAAGTATACAATGGAGGAAACTTGGCGAAATGCAATAAAAAGAACGTTTAGAAAAAAAAAACCAGAACAGAGAAAGCAATATTACAGTTATGTCAAATTGATTCCTCTGGTTTACCATGTATGCCATCAGTAAGTTTTCATAGACCATGCAGTTAAAAAAGCTTAGGCTTTGATAGGATGTTGGTGTTCGTTCGTCTATTCGTTTGTGTGTCTTTTAACTTTTTTTTTTTTCAAATTACTACCCATTCACCAGTTTTAGTCATATTTAATAAAACATTTCATACAACAGGCAACATCAATTCTGGATATCAGTTTTTGAATAATGTTGCCATGGTTACTCTATCAAAATATTTTTTTGAAATTCCTATAGTTTTGGGCCAATTTTGGTATATTTGTAAAGTAAGATAAATAATCTTTTTTATTTTTGTTTATATTCTTTTAGCTTAAAAATTATTGGTTATTTCAACTTTTCATGTTGCAGTAGTTAAGTTTTGCATAATAAATCATTGATTAATGAAGGTTAGGAAGTCTAACACGCATTCGTGTTTTAGGTCATATTTTGCCTTTGCGCAGCTTCCTCCATGGTTAAATTTTGAAATGTGGAGAACCCTGAACCCTGAACTTAGATCCACCAACCCATGCACACCACCGATCATATTCTATTTTTTAGCTATTTTATGACTGTTTTTATACCCCCCGCAAACGAAGTTTAGGGGGGGTATATTGGAATCAGCATGTCCGTCTGTCTGTCCGTCTGTCTGTAGACGAGATTTTGTCCTGACCATTTCTTGGAAACTGTTGGAAGGATTTGTCTGAAAATTTGTACACTTATTATTCGCCATATGAAGGTGTGCACCTGGTATTTTCATTATGATTGGATAATTTTTCTGCATTTTACAGGTGTTTTTTCATTTTTATTATGTGGTTTTGTCTGGATCTGTTCCAAGAAACTATTGCATAGATTTGTATGAAAATTTGTACACTTATTATTTACCATATGAAGATGTGCACCTGGTATTTTCAACATTATTTGATAATTTTTCTGCATTTTACAGGTGTTTTTTTTAAATTTTTATTGACTTAGTCATTTCGGGTTCATGTCTAAGGTTTGAGACATAGAATCTAGAACATCTGTACAAAAATGTGAACTACAGCTTAAAACTACTCATTAGAACTAAAAAAAAAACCCACAAAGTATTAAAAACAGTTTTTACATTACACAGCAGATAATGTAAATCCATTTGTCCCTTGGGAGTAATGAGTGGACATGCATCCAGTTAAAGATTAATTAATGAGTTCAGTGTGGGAAGCTGTTAGGGCATCTCTGATCAGGCAGGTCTTATCTATATCTCCTGGGAATTGGGCAGAAAGAAATAAAAATCTCTG